GTATTCATAAATTTCTTGAAGTAGCAGTTTGTATTGTGTTGGATCTTGAAGTTTGTGATATTGCATTGTCTCATGACAGCAGTAAGTCTGTGAACTTGTCAAACAGAGCATCTACATCCTCCAAAAGGAATTTGAGGTTAGAGGTTGAAGAAGAGGTTGATATGTTATCATCAATTTGTCGACACAAGGAAAAAGTACTGTTGTCTGCTGGTTGGGTAGTTAGTATTACACATATAGGACAGAAATTTGAAGGTGGAATTGTTGAATTTCGTAATGCATTGTCGAAGTTTTCTATTGAGTGTGGATTTGAGTTCATATTTGTTAAGAATGATAAAGTTCGTGTTATCGCACAATGTTTGTTTAGAGAGACAAAAGGTTGTATGTGGAATGTTCATGGTAGAGTGGAGAATGCTAATGGGTTCTTTTATATAATGAATGTCCACACATATGGTGCTGAAGTACATACGATGAATCATTCTCGTATGAGTTCTGATTTAGTTGCTGATTTGATTGTTGAAGGTGTTCATGATAATCCATTGGCACGTCCAGTTCATGTTGTTCGGGATTTTAAGTTGGTGTATGAGCCGAGAGTTAGTTATCGTCAAGCTTGGTTGAGGGTAGAGAAAGCAAAATGTGAGATTTTTGGAGACTACTTAATGTCATTTGACCAGTTAAGATGGTATGTGGATGTTGCAAAGAGTTGCAATCCAGGGAGTTACATTGAGTTTGAGTGTGACGATGATACTAAACGGTTTAAGAGATTATTTGTTTCTTTTCATGGTTTCATTAGTGGATTTAATTATTGTCGGCCTCTCTTATTTCTTGATAGCACATTTTTTAAGGGAAGATTTAGAGGAAATTTACTTGCTGCTACAGGAAAAGATGGAAATCAAGGTATATAAGAAATTTGTTTTCTCTGTTCTGAAATTGAGAAAGTTCTCAGTTTAGAAATATAATTGAATGTTTTAAATTTTATATAATATTGTTGTTGTATATGTATTTTTTTTATTTTTTCAGTTATTCATTTTAGTGTTTGATATTTTGAATGTTAAAGTGTTACTATTTTCTAAGAATAATATAATATTTTCATTTTTTCTGTTTTGTACATGCAGGGTTCTTTCCTGTTTGTTTTGCAGTTGTTGGCTCAGAGAATCAAGATAACTGGCGTTGGTTTTTGGAGCATTTGAGTAGAATTGTTTCATCAGAACGAAATATTACATTTGTGTCAGATCGTAACCTTGGATTAGTTGAAGTGTTGCCAAAGGTTTTCCCAATGGCTTTCCATGCTTATTGTTTATATCATATGAAGATGAACTTGAGGCATCATTTGCGTGGTATGTTTCATGGATTGAAAGAAAAGCTGATCACTATGTTTGGGAAATGTGCATATGCTCCAATTGAAGAAACATTTCATCAATGTTTGGTTGAGTTAAAAACTAAAGGTGGGTCAAGAGTTGAAAAGTTTTTAGATGACATACCATATGATCATTGGAGTAATGCATATTTTCTAGGGCAACGCTTTGGAGAGATGTGGTCAAATGTAGTTGAATCTTTCAATTCGTGGATACGAGAGGAACGCCACTTGCCTATCACAAAGTTAATTGATAGTGTAAGAATTAAGTTGATAAAGAAAATTGTTAAGATGAGGGAACTTGTTAATAAATGGAATGGTTTGATATGCCCTAAAATGGAGTCCAAGTTGCATGATGGTTTTAATACTTCGAGGCCATGGATTGTTAGTTCATCTGGAAATGATGTCTATGAGGTGCATTCACATCCATCTGTTTCAGTTGACATTAGTAGACGAATATGTTCTTGTGGCGAGTGGCAATTGAAAGGGTTTCCATGTGCACATGCAGTTGGTGCTATACAAAAGAGTGGACATGATTTGAGTTTATTTGTTGATTTTTGTAAATAAACTTGACTATTGAATGTTTGTTTTTAAGATTGTGTGAATACTGTATAAAAAGTGAACATCTTCTCAGTTTAAGTTTTTAGTTCAAAATAGCTGATTTTGTGATAATAGTGTGAGGCTCTTGTTATGAATTGGAACTAGTTATAAATGTGATCAATTGAATGAATGTGAATTAATATTCTAAATAGATGTGGTCAATGTTTTATGTTTTGATTAAAGTAACAGTGGACTGTAAGTGAAAATATTATTTGTTTCGAATTTTAGTTTTTCATATGGCCATAATATTGTGACGCAGCAAAAAAATTGTTGTGATAATATTGTTTCGGAAATAAACTTGACTGTTGAATGTTTGTTTTGCAGATTATGTGAATACTGTATAAAAAGTGAACATATTCTCAGTTTAAGTTTTTAGTTCAAAATAGCTGATTTTGTGATAATAGTGTGAGGCTCTTGTTATGAATTGGAACTAGTTATAAATGTGATCAATTGAATGAATGTAAATTAATATTCTAAATAGATGTGGTCAATACTTTATGTTTTGATTAAAGTAACAGTGGACTGTAAGTAAAAATATTCTTTGTTTCGAATTTTAGTTTTTCAAATTGTCATAATATTGTGAGGCAGCAAATAAATTGTTGTGATAATATTATTGTTTGAAAATTGAGTGATCTGTATAAAACTAAAAATATTATCAGTTTTTAAGTTTCTAAGTTTAAAAATAAGTGATTGTGAGGCAACAAAACACTGCATAAAAACTAAAAATATAAACAAAAACATCAACAAAGCACTGATTGTGATACAACAAAGTCTTGTGTCTACTATTTTCACATGTAATACTATTTTCGCTTTTCCTATATAGTAGTGTAAGGAACAGGATAATAGAAACTGAGAATATGGACAAAAACATTAACAAAGCTCGGGTGCATATATCTTTGAGAGTATGACAAAATATTCCATTACACATCATAGAAATTATAATATGTTTGTTAGGTAATATGCTTGGAACTATTAACAAAAACATTAGTCATTGTATCAAAGTGTTACAAAAAAGAGTTCATTGAGTTACACATCAAAAAAGATTTCATTGAAGGTTGCAATCTTGACTCTACTTGACTTTGATTGATCTTTGTGGATCACTAAGGAAGTCATGTATCACGTCTGCTCTGAGTCTTGTAGATGTGCCTAGTGATAATGTGTTTGGAATTGGTTGATGCCTCATGCATTGTCTTATGATGTAGCAAACAATAATTCCACAGTCATTCCTACAAAAATCATTTTTGACACAGTTAGGGAAAAAAGAATTTTTTTGAAAAAGATATTAAAATTTGTTAGTTAGAATAAATTAACATACGTCATTGCTTCTTGTTGAGGGCTGTCTTTGACTGATTAAATCTTGACATCAGGATTCCAGGCTTTTTCTCCATAACCAAGATGTATAGGCTCATCTCCACAAGATATACTGAAGATGGACTTGATGTCTTCTGTTGTTAGCTTTACAGTTTCTGATCCTAATTGGAAAGAACCACTGCTGCCTGGCTGGTATGTTTGAATTATTTTCAGTACAATGTCATCATATTTTCTGCATTGTTTATAATTCAGCTTGTTTTGCAATATTGCATCAAACAATGCCCAAAATGGGGTTTTCTTCAAGCCATTAATATGCTCATTCCTGAGTTTGATGTGCTGTAATAGCTTCACTATTGTCCCCATGTTTGATCTGAAAGTTAATCTCTATTCTCTACGCTTTCCCTTTTGCTTTTTATCCGTTGAAGTTGATTTTTTATGCTTTCTTATCATTTTCTTTGCATTACTTCTTAGTGGGGTTTTCATGAGTTGCTTTCCTGTACGGAAAATCAACATAGACAAGATATAATCACTGAGAATGTGCCCTAAAAGAATCAATCCAATGTCATTCTCATGAAGTATAAATTTGATGACATTCATGGCTATAAAAACAAAATCAACATTGAAAGTTAAATTCAAAGCAAGAGAAAATTATTAACTAGGGTTTTTCACTCAAATTGATTCAGAATATGAGAACATTCACAGCAATCGCAGCAAAAATCAACATTGAAACTTAAATTGGAAGCAAGACAACATGATTAACTAGGGTTTTTAGTCAAATTGATTGAAAACTTGAGAAAATTCACAACAATCATGTGAAACTTAATATTGAAACCTAAATTGAAATCAAGAGAATATGATTAAGTCCGGGTTTTCACTCAAATTGACTAAGAATCTGAGAACATTAACAACAATCGTACGAAAATCAACATTGAAACCCAAATTGAAGCTAAGAGGATATGATTCACTAAGGTTTTTTACTCAAATTGTCTAAGAATCTGAGACCATTCACAGGAATCGTACGAAAATCAACATTGAAAGCTAAATTGAAACTAGAGAATATGATTCACTAAGGTTTTTTACTCAAATTGTCTAAGAATTTGACAATTTATCTAAGAATCTGAGAACATTCACAGCAATCACACCAAAATCAACAATGAAAGCTAAATTGAAACCAATAGAATATGATTAACTAAGATTTTTCACTGAAATTGATTGAAAATATGAGAGCATTGACAGCAATGGTACCACACTCAACATTGAAACCTAAATTGAAAGTAATAGGATATGATTAACTAGGGTTTTTTTATTCAAATTGATTTAGATTGAAACCCAAATTGAAATTAAGAGAATATGATTCACTGAGGTTTTTTTACTCAATTTATCTAAGAATCTGAGAACATTCACAGCAATCACACCAAAATCAACAATGAAAGCTAAATTGAAACCAATAGAATATGATTAACTAAGATTTTTCACTGAAATTGATTGAAAATATGAGAGCATTGACAGCAATGGTACCACACTCAACATTGAAACTTAAATTTAAAGGAATAGGATATGAAACTTAAACTTAAATCTCAGAATATGAGAACATTCACAACAATCGCAGCAAAATCAATATTAAAACTTAGATTGGAAGCATGAGAACATGATTAACTAAGGTTTTCAGTCAAATTGATTGAAAACTTGAGAAAATTCACAACAATCATGTCAAACTCAATATTGAAACTTAAATTGACTAAGAATCTGACAACATTAACGACAATCGTACGAAAATCAACATTGAAACCCAAATTCAAACCAAGAGAACATGATTCACTAAGGTTTTTTACTCAAATCGTCTAAGAATCTGAGAACATTCACAGGAATCATACCAAAATTAACATTGAAAGCTAAATTGAAACCAGAGAATAAGATTCACTAAGGTTTTTTACTCAAATTGTCTAAGAATTTGAGAACATTCACAGGAATCATGCCAAAATCAACAATGAAAGCTAAATTGAAACCAATAGAATATGATTAACTAAGGTTTTTGACTAAAATTGATTGAAAATATGAGAACATTGACAACAATGGTACCACACTCAACATTGAAACCTAAATTGAAAGGAATAGGATATGATTAAGTAGGGTTTTTCACGTAATTTCAGTAAGAATCTGAGAACATTAACAGTAATGGTAGCCAAATCAACATTGAATCCTAAATTGGAAGTAACAGAAGATGATTAATTAGGGTTTTTCACTTAAATTCAATATGAATCTGAAATTAACATCAATGGTACTAACATCAACATTGAAAACTAAATTGAAACTAAGAGAACATGATTAACTAGGATTTTTCACTCAAATTCACTAAGAATCTGAGAATATTAACAGTAATCGCACCAAAATCAACATTGACACTTAAATAGAAAGCAGAATATTAACAGTAATCGCACCAAAATCAACATTGACACTTAAATAGAAAGCAAGAGAACATGATTAACTAGGGTTTTTCACTCAAATTTACTAAGAATTTGAGAATATTCACAGTAATCGCACCAAAATCAACAATGAAACCTAAATAGAAAGCAAATGAACATGATTAACTAGGGTTTTTCACTCAAACTCACTAAGAATTTGAAAATATTCACAGCAATCGCACCAAAATTGTAACAACCCTCATACTGTTTACCGACTTATGGCTGATTGATTACCGATAACCAGCGATTACCATTAAACTGAATTGATTATGACTGATAATTGAACTGATTAAAGTACTGAACTGACTGACTGAAATTGGAAACCGAGATTGAGTATATGTTAGTTAAATTGCATTTTATCTGTTTGACTGTATGATTATCTGTTCATGCTTATATGTTTAAACTACTAATTGAAGGCCATATCGGCGGCCGAATCCGAAACCGATTAGTGTTCTATGATCCTTAGAATTAATGTGATTTTATAGTATAATTATCTGAAAATTGATTAGGTATGATTAAATTAGATTAAATATCGATTAATCGCATAGTTTGATTTAATTACCGTTCCGCCACTTAGTGGACCACTATCTCTTGAACCTTGTATACACTCCACGTATTGATCAAACAAACATTTTCTTCTCCTCTTCTTGCCTCAACCGACCCAAGTTAGAGAGTGAGAGAGAGTTGAGTTGTTCTTGAGAGATTTGCTTGATCTTGCTTGGAATTGAAGTGTTGATTGCTACTTTGAGCTCCTAGACCTTGAACACAAGACTAAGGTAGCTCCATTGTTTTCTTATTCATGTTTTAAGTTGAATCTTGCATGGTTCATGTCATATTGATGGAGGTTAGAGCCAAAACCTGGTTTAGATGGTGAATTGAAGCTTAAGTGTTACATGCATGTACATATATTGAAGTTTTGAGGTTGTAGTTCATAATTCCTCACATGCATGTTCATAATTTTGTAATGGTCCATGTTTTCAACTTGTTTTTGGATCAATTGGCTCCCTAGAGCATCAAATTGAAGCTTTAAAATGATTTAAAGATCATGCATGTCATGTTTGAGGATTGTCCTTGGAAAATGGTTTGAAATTGGGTTTGAATAAAACACCCTTGGGCTTTGATTTCTCAAATTGAGCTTTAAAACATGTTATTCTATGTGTTTATAAATATTTTGCAGAAAATGAGCCCAAGAGG